GATGAAAATACTTTTCTGTTCTGAGGCGGAGAACTTACCTAGAACGTCTAGCACAGTGTCTGTCATTTGAAGACGGACTCCTTTTTTGGTATATACCATTTAAAATCTCCTTTTCTCAAGAGAGGCGTGTTTTCAGGAGCCGAGCAGAAGAGGACGTGGGGCGCCGGCTGGTCCCTTTAAAGAGGAGGAAACTGAAGCCAGGAAAGGCCAGGGCTCCTGGAAGGGATCCCTCCCTGCCGGGAGGGATACCTCCCTGCCTGGAGGAGCAGAACTCCCGCGCTGCGTTTCATCAGGGCTGGCGCTCTCCGCCGGCTCTCTTTCGTCTAGAACGTAGCACAGTTAGTTGTCGTCCTCCTTTTTGTGGGCTGCTTAGATTCTGTCTGTGATTGCTGGCTAAACATAGCCATAAATTGCAGTTCCTTGTCCTTTAAAGTCCTTGACTGTGGGGACCCACACGTTTTAAGAGTGGTCTGAATTCCCTGTTACCGGATAAAGAGGTTTTGAAGGTCTTAACTGAGTTTTGCAAAGAGCCACCTCAAAGCCCAATTTCTACTTTATCTAATTGAAAACGATTTTTGAAAAACATTGTCGTGAGTCTTTGGGCTGCAAGATCTGTTTTTCATATTTCCCTGAAACGGAGCCTCGTGTATGTTGCATTCACATGAGCCATAAAATAGCACAAAACCCTAAATAGGAGGAAAGTTGGGTTATTTCTATGCCTAGTTACAGTTTTATATAAAATATCAGATTTGTGAGTGCCTGTCCTGGCAATGAAAAACGGTTTTAAAATAGAACCGGGGGTAAGATTAATACATTCCCAACGCACTGAGGAATGTAGGCTGACTCATTCAAGCACTATTTTTTAGGTTAAAAATGACTTGTTTAATCCTCTCTCTTTTTTGTAGAGCTTTCGGCAAATACGTTCTGAACCAAATCTGAGAGGCATAATCAAGAGGGAAACATTTTATTTTTAAACCTGGAGAATAGTGGAAGCTCTGATTTCTTTACTATTGATTTACGGGTGAATTTGAAACAAGTGTTACAGGGAGGAGAGGGGGAACATTTCTCTGTGACCATCAGGCCTGGGTTTCCTCCATCGTGGCATCCTCAAAGGTTAGGAAGGTCTTAGCTTCTCTTCAAAACCCTTCGTAGGTCTTGTAACAATCACTTACTTAAAAGTCAGTAAAATACCATCTGTCTTGGCAGTTCACAATCTCTTACAGGGTAGGAAAACGTTTAGAATTTTATAAATAAACCAGAATCTTTACTTACTTGCTTCAACTGAAAAATCACTTAAAAAGTGATTTGGGGTAGTGATATTGTATGGTTGATGTATTTTTTTTCTTTAATGATATTTGTATTGTCAAACTCTGTTTCTGAGGAGAGGAAAAATAATTGATGATAGACACATGTACTCCACCTGGCACCGGAAGGCTGGCCATAGTAGGCTCTGGAGACGCAGTGCTGTGTGCCATAGCAGGATTTGGGTAGATGTGGCTGTGTCATTCTGACTTGCAGGCCTCTGTCTCAGTGATTGAGGACGAATGCTGAGATGAACACGAGGACAGGGTTGGGGGGTTCAGACTGTCAGAGTGAGGTGAGGAGGTGTGGATATGTGATCTTTTGGAGAAGGGGTCATGCCCCTGGTGGGAGGCGCTCCAGCCCACCCTGGGTTTCATGCCACCAGCCTATCTTAAGTTCCTGTCATGAGCTGTGGGTTCTCTCTGGGACTGCTGTCTCCATGAAGTGCTCATCTTCCCCTCAGGCAGAGGGAAAGGTGGGCCCCAGCACTTTATCAAGTCCTTGATGACTGTTGGACTCTTGAGCAGCCAGAGCTGGCTGCCTCGCACACACACTTACCCCACCTTTGCCTGGACCTGGGTCTGTCCTCCCCATGATTTAGGAGTGGCTGGCTTAGCAGGCGACTGGGGGCTGCTGTCTCCTAGGAACCTGTGGCAAGGTAGGTGCCCCCCTCCCCCAGCCCACTTCTCCAAAACCTGCTGGGGGTCTTCCAGAGGTTTAGCTGCCAAGATGGGACTCCATGCTCCAGCTGGCAGAACCGGGGTTAAAGTGAGTAAAATCTCCCTTTCCTCTTCAGGAAGGAGTTCCATTTTGTAAAGCTCAGGTCCTGAGTGAGAGCCCTTAAGATTCCCACTCTGTGCCCCTCTTTTGAAGGGCTCTTCTGAGAATCAGAGAATCTAATTTCACTGGCAGATGCTTTAAAAGGGCTGCATTCATACCTCCTCCCTTCCTTCCTGCAGACAGACTGGCCTTTTTCCAGCCCGACACGCAAAGCTGTCCTTAGAACTCTTTCAGAGGCAGCCCCTCTCAAGGCCACAGTCCCCCAGATAGCAGCAGTGACATCTGGGAGACTGTCCTCACCTCGCCACTTCTTCAGGGCAGACACTGTCTCCAGGTGACTGGGCTTGCACTCTGGGGCAGATCCTCACAGGCCTGTGCTACCTTTGATTCTCAGAAATCCGGTGTGTCCCAAATATCCCTTTATTTTCTCTCTCTAAACCTAATTCCAGAGTGTCCCTCTGGATTGGCTGGAGGAGCCTCTGGGCACGTGTACGGGGCCTCCCCTCCCACGGCCAGGTTGTGCTGTGATCCCAGGTGCCCATGGGGGTGGGGAACCCCTCTGGTTGATGCTTATGTGTCCACACAGGGAGGTGTCCATAACCCTCTCTGTCCGCCTCTTGAGCCCCCTCCTGGCTGCCCCAGGACACCATTCCTCCCTGAGGACCTCTGCTCTCCTGGGCTCTGCCTGCAGGTACAAAACCTGGAGGTCTGGGGCTCCTGCAGACCCCACAGGGGACTTGTTTCTTGCCTGGGAGCTTCCTCTTCCTCCCTCTTCTTCCCGCAGCTCCCTCTCCCACTTTGCTCCTCTTCCCACACTCGCCAAGTTCCCTCAGGAGCAGGGGCTTTTGTCAAGTTCCTGTGATCTGGCCAGACAGCCACCTCCCGTGAGGCAGTGAAACTCAGAATCAGCCAGCCAGCACCCATATGGGGAAAAGAGAGGGAAATATGACCGCCTTTTATGACAGTATGATGTAGTCATGATGTGTCCAGGTCACTGGTACTTATGAGTCCTGCCTTGTCCAGGGAGCTGTGCCACATCCCAGGAATGCAGACACTGCTGGATCCTTGGAGGATCAGAGCCTGGAAGCGTGTTAGCTCTCAGGGTGGTGCGAAAAGGGAGGAGACAGAACACAGGGTGACATAAAAGAGGCTCTTGATCCAGGTTGCTGGGAGGTAGGGGGCACTCCCTTGTATGTAGGGTACATAAAGGCAGGGGTTTTTTCCCCCACTGTTTTGTTCATTATTCCCGACCCACTTCCTTGAACAACCCCTGGCCTGTAGGAGGCTCTCAACACGTATTTGCTGAGTGAACGGATGAGAAAGTGAGGAGGTGGTGGGAGTTATCGAGAATGATGAAGGAGAGGGTCTGGGAGGGACCTGGGAAATATCAATATATCTGTCAAGGTTCTGGCAGAAAAGATGCAGTATACTCATATCGGGTAATCGGAATATTTAATAAGGAAGTTTTTTTTTTATCTTGAAGTATAGTTTACAATGTTGTGTTAGTTTTGGGTGTACAGCACAGTGATTCAGTTATATATATAAATATTTTTCAGATTCTTTTCCATTGTAGGTTATTATAAAATACTGAATATAGTTCCCTGTGCTATACAGTAGGTCCTTGTTGTTTATCTATTTTACATATAGCAGTGTGTCTGTGTTAATCCTGAAGTCTCAATTTATCCCTCCCCCCAACGCCTTTTCCCTTTGGTGACCATGGTTTGTTTCCTATATCTATATGGAGTCTATTTCCAGTTTGTAAATAAGTTCATTTGTATCCTTTCTTTTTAGATTCTACATATAAATGATATCATGTGATATTTGTCTTTCTCCGTAAGTCTTCATTTTGGATGAAATTAGGAAACATATTTTTATACACACACTATGTCTGAAGGCAGAAAGGGAACAGAGGCACTAGGGGGACTGACTCGACCAATTAGAGGCTCCTGACATCTGCACATCTGCAGAGGGCAGTTCTGATGAGGATACGTGAGGACCAGAAGAAGGGGAAGAGTCTAAGCCCTTTGAGCACATACTGTTGTCGGGGCCCGTCCCGTTCTGGGGGCGTGGGTACCAGTGGCAGGTGGGCATGGTTGAAAACACAGGGATGTGTCAGAAGTAAGGGGGTTATTTACAAAGGCTAGTGACAGTGGGGTGTGACCCCCCACCCCAGGCCAGAAGGGGCAAGGGAGGGAATGGAGAGATCAGGTGGAGGGGTGTGACCTTCAGTTAAGAGAGCGACTGTGCAGGGGGCAGGCCAGGACACTACACAGCCCAGCCATCGCCTCATCCCCTCCTTCAGACTCCTGGTGGGCTTCTCACTGATGAATCCACTGGAAGCCAGAGGGCAGGAGGGTCCACTGGGACAGCCCTTACAGCTCGCCCCCTGGCACAGTGCAGGGCAGAGACGGTGGAGTGTGGCTGGGACAGGCACTCTGCTCACCTACAGAGGATGAGCACTCGTCCAGAGTGGCTGGACCAGGTCCTGCTGGGCCTTGGAAGTCACTGAACCCTTAGCTGAAAACGTTGTGTAGAAGCACACAGTTGCTGAAGGACTGAACAGACTGTTCATTTTTTGCAGAAATCTCGTTGACCACCCATTGAGTAGCTCTTATCTTTCTCCTTTGTACTTTAGGCAAATAATCTTCCAAAAGCCATTGCGGCTGCTCACACCTTTCTGCTGAAGCATCCTGATGACGAAATGATGAAGAGGAACATGGCTTATTACAAGACCCTGCCTGATGCGGAGGACTACGTTAAAGACTTGGAAACCAAGTCATTCGAGGTATATTTGGGTTTTTACACGGTGGTTAGTTGCAAGGTGAATCGTTGAAGAAGGGTGTCCCAACGAACAGCTGTTGACATCTTAGAACCTCTGGTGATTTTTGATGGTATTTGATGAATATTATGACAATAGGAATGATTGCCTTTTTAGCACAAAGTTGATCCATTTAAAAATGAGAGTTTACTTTCCATGTTGCCTTTAAAGCCACTTTTCCTTCAAATGCCACATTTTAGAAGTATGGTCATTTGATCATTCAGTTTTAAGCTGGTGGAATTAAGACATGCATTGAAAATCATCTGAAAATGACCAAGAACAGAAGAAACAGAAATATGTCTTCATTTCTTTTTTTCTTTTAAAAAGAATTTTTTTGGAGGCAGGAGGTAATTTGGTTTATTTATTTGTGTTTGGAGGAGGTACTGGGGATTGAGCCCAGGACCTCGTGAGTGCTAAGCATGTGCTCTACCACTTGAGCTATAGCCTCCCCCACCATTTCTTCTTTTTTAAATTTCTTTTTATTGAAGTATAGTTGGTTCACAGTGTTGTGTTAGTTTCAGGTGTACAGCACAGTGATTCAGTTATACATGTACCTACATATATATTCTTTTTCTGATCCTTTCCCATTGTAGGTTATTACAAGTTACTGAATATAGTTCCCTGTGCTCTACAGTAGGTCCTTGTTGTTTATCTATTTTATATATAGTAGTGTGTATCTGTTAATCCCAAACTCCTAATTTATCCCTCCCCCCAACGCCTTTTCCCTTTGGTGACCATGGTTTGTTTTCTGTATCTATACTGAGTCTATTTCCAGTTTGTAAATAAGTTCATTTGTATCCTTTCTTTTTAGATTCTACATATAAATGATATCATGTGATATTTGTCTTTCTCCGTAAGTCTTCATTTTGGATGAAATTAGGAAACCTATATTTTTATACACACACTATGTCTGAAGGCAGAAAGGGAACAGAGGCACTAGGGGGACTGACTCGACCGATTAGAGGCTCCTGACATCTGCACATCTGCAGAGGGCAGTTCTGATGAGGATACGTGAGGACCAGAAGAAGGGGAAGAGTCTAAGCCCTTTGAGCACGTACTGTTGTTGGGGCCCGTCATGCTCTGGGGGCGTGGGTACCAGTGGCGGGTGGACATGGTTGAAAACACAGGGATGTGTCAGAAGTACCCGTGGGAGAGGTTAGATCCCAAGGTCTGGCTCAGGGTTTCCTCTAGTGAAACCAGACTGCAAGCTCACTTTTTCCACAGGTGGTGACCCTCAGACGGAGTGGGCAGTCTCTTTCCTGGGGCCTTCAGTTTTCCAGGGAAGGATGCTCCAGCCCTCTGCAGGGCTGCTGGGGTGTCCATGCTTGTCTGCTGGTGTCTGAGAGCCAGTCTGGGGAGAGCGATGGGGCCTCACAGCTGAGTCGGAGACCTCACCTGCTTCCTGGCTTTCCGCCCACCCTCGACCCAGCTCTGCTCTGCCTCGTCCCTGGCCCCTCAGCCTTCAAGGGTAGAGTCTTTAGAATAGCTCACCAGTCCCTGGCGAGGAGAGGATTTGGGAGATGTGATCCATCCAGTGAGCAGGTGGGCACTGCGGGGAACCGAGGGCTCCCACAGCCCTGCTCAGCCCCTCAGCCCTGCTTTCTGTCCTGCGCCTCGTGCCAGCCTCCGTGGTCCCCGGTGCCTGCAGGTGCCTACAGGTGTGTGGCTCACCTCCCTCCTCTGTGATAATCCCTCTTTCTGTCTTCCCTAAAGTTGTTGAAATCTCTTGTCTGCTGCTTGCTCCTTTCCCATTCTCCCGTAAAGAGGACTGAAGCCTTTGTACTGCCTTCCCTGCCTTTATTCATCAGGTTTGGGGAGCAGTGTGCACGTGGGCCGCGCCTTGTGCTTCACTGCAGACAGCTGGGCCCGCCTGCCCTCCTTGGAGTCCTGCCGGGCGTGGCGGGCTGTCCCCGCCCGCCGTGCCACCGGCCCGGTCCCCTCCGCACGCGTCCTTCTGCCGCCAGCACCCACCAATCCGTCCAAGCCACTAGGCCGTCCGTCGACGTTGGTCG